AATCGTATTCGTAAAAAAATATGATTAATTTCTACTCTAATTTCTGAAATGAGTACATTATACATTTCTAATATCCAATCAATGAAAACTATTCATAATGAATCACACTTATTCATAATCGTTTACTACATCATATGAAAAACATTAAGCCCTTTGCATTGCAAGAAGACACATAACAATCTCAGAATTGCCCGTAACATTCTTGTCTGAGTGGTTTGCTGGTTGTTGTCACTTATTCAGATTCAAAATGGGAGAAAACGGTCACAAATGTATATGCTGCCAAATATTATCCTTCTTGGAATTGCCTATATTTCATTTTTATGTGTATCTTGAAGTGTGATATTGCTCTAATTATATAAGTGGCATATTTTTGTCACAAAGCAGATTTTACAAGAATTCGAAATGTAAAATAAAGGGAGACATTAGACGCCCAAGCATTCAATCTACGCACCGCATCTTCCTCACAGTACAATTGCTGCCTGCCCCCCCCCCCGAAAAGTTTCGTCTACTTGCACTTTCCCACTCTTGCCGACAGACGTCCAGCTCTTGAACGCAGAATGCCCGTGGATGCAGGAGTTGTGCCTGAGGCATACTTACAGAGACTTGTTAATTTATTTCACATTATTTCTTTATAAAACTAATAACAGAATTATTGAATAAAATGATATAAAAGAGAGAAAGTAAAGATTATAAACATAATTCAAGTCTCGGTTGTTCGATAGAACATATCTGACCAACTATTTTCGTATGAAGCCACTATTCCCAGTCTCGCTCCTTTTCCTCTTCCTGGAATTGGAGAGTAAATGAGAGCGAAGTAAGGGAAAGTTTCCCGTGCCCGCAGGAGCGCCGGGCTGCTCAGACGGGCAAGTAGTTCGTGCGGGGGCGGTTTGCCGTACCTGCAGCAGGGTTTCCGGATGGCATGTGGGAGCGGGCTCGCTTTCCTCGCTCAAGGTCCCTGGTTTCGTTCTCGTCGAGAAAAGAAGAATTTGTAGGTTCCTCCAATACACTAGCATGACTCAGGAATGATAAGAGACGCACGGGCTGATAGATACATTGCTATTTTTGTCCGTTTTCACTTCTATGTAATTTTCTATCGTCCCCATTTCGGCTGAGTCAGTTCCAAATCCATGCACAACCGTGACTTAACAACTCCCCACGACCTTCGAACCCGAATGAATCGTGAGCTTGTGACGGCCTTCCCACTTTTTTTCCATAATATTTGTGGCTTGTTAGCCCGTTGGAAGTTGGCTCAATGATAGAGACTCAGAACTTTCTTGCTACGGTAGCCCAAACCCACACACATCTACCTTCTTACACTAGTTACCGAGGTAGTGATAGAAATTATTGGAAGGTTTCGGATTCAGAGGTTATAAGAATTGTTTTGGGAAAGTACAGCTCGCCACAACACAGTCAACAGTGTCAGTCACAGATTTAACAGTCTAATGTCATTAATAACACCAATTTACCAAACAAACATTCAAATACCAATAGTTATATAAGCATTATTCATTTCACAAATATATGACAAATTCTACCGTTTCATGTCCTCTGTGACAGGGCGAGCACCAACTGTCCCGTTCGCAGGGGAGTTCATTGCTGCTTTCAAGAGTATACAGCGGAGAGCTTAGATCCGCAGAACCTTTCAGATAACTGCGTTTCTTGCCGGAGACTACTGGGCTTCCCGAAACATTTTTATGAATCATCCCGACATAATTTTTGGAGCCTCTAATTCTCTTGTGAAAGTGTTTGGTTAGTATGAAATTGAGTTAAAGTCATATATATTTCTAAAAATTAACGTTATATTACATAGAACAACATTATGTATTTAAATTCTGCTAATATATTCACAAAAGAATTCCTCCGACAAGAGCGAATAAACAGTTTGCGATGTAGTGTGGTATTTCATGTCTACTAAAACAATGAACTTTAAAGTGGTCAGCAAGAGAAGAGTTTCCTGTCCATAGTCACTCTTATTACTCGTTTATCCTAGAGTGCGGTCAGAATGGGTCCGTCTTCGGCCGAAAGAAAGTTCTGGTGCGAAAGAAAGACAAATTCTGCCGAATAGTAGTGATCATACTGCATCCGACTGCTTCAGACATTCGTCATCAAATTTGTTAGTCATTCACCTGAAATGATACAAGAGAAATGTATGTAAAAATCCTCACTTTCCTAATGCAGTAATATGACTGAAGTTTGTGTTTTGGAAGAACCATCAGCAAGTCGTTTCATCTTTTTCTTCTCAGATGTCCTGCCCTATTTGCGAAAAACTGTATTGAAAACATTCTACAGAATTTGCGCGATAAGTGTGTCTACGAGTATGCCCATGTTGAATGCCTCAGTTCCAAAGAATAACTAAAATTCAACGGACAGCGTTCTGGTGACCTTGGACTTCGGCTGTTTGTTAGAGCGCGTCGGACGCAGTGAGACCGTGTTGGCGCTGTACTGAATGTTAGAAATATTCGGTCGTAAACGGCCATGTTCGTCCGATCGTGCATTCAGCAGAACACAGATCCATTGATCTCTTACCCTTAACAGTTCTCTCTCCATCTCAGAAAAAACGCCCACCATTCTCAATGCAATTGTATACATAGGCTCGCACTCTGCTGGCGAATACCTGTAGCTAAATCATGTTTTGCTGCACTAAACCGCGACACGCTTCGTAATTTGACACGCTTGTAAGCGGGACGACCTTGCTCCCGGATGTTGTACTCTGGTTGCGTCACAGAATTTTCAAGTTGAAACCTATTAGTATTCAGGATCAAAATTTTTCTGAGATCGTTTAGAAGTAGAAAGTAGATGTATGACCAGTCAGGGAAGTCCAGCTCAGATTAGACAGAGAACTCAGCCAAGGAAAATTGACGCAATACAGCCTACAGTTATAGAAGGTGAAGACGCTACGTGTATCTACACACCTTTACACGCGTGTATATTTCATGTTTAAAGCTATCCTAGTTCACAAGTCATTCGTCACAAGGTATGCGGTAACTTTATTGTTAATATTTAGAACTTGTCTCTGACGTGAATGAGAGAACTTTTGGTGTTTGACGTCGAATTAACTGGAAAATCCGTCACTTCCTCCAAATTCTCAAGTATATTGAAATCGAAAAAACAAGGAACACCACTAGCTGAGACTCAATCCATTAAATATAAATAAAGATTCTCCAACGTGTATGAGACTATAAACTATAAACAAAATGGGATTTCAATCAACTTCAAAACCTTTCAAAATTAAATAATAAAACTGAATAAAAGGGGTGAAAAGGGACCGTATAACGATCGAAGGTTCAGAGGTTCTAACAATCGGACGATACCATATTTATAATCTCACTCCTCTATTTGAGGAAAACATTTAAAGAAAATAATGTTTTAAAATAAATCGAAAAAGTTGTAACTATTCAAAATATTTAAAGTTAAAAGATACCTTTGAATTTCGCAGTATCTCAAGTTTAATCATGTAGGAGAAAGTCCAATTAAAACAAAAAGCCAATGTATTGATTTAGGCGATAACGTTCGTGCAACTATGAATCACATGTTATGATAAGGTCTGATCACATTATCAGAATATGATTGAATTGCAATGTTACCAGGAGATTACACCCTTTAAGGCAAACGAAAGGAATTTAAAAGTGTGACATTTGCAAAATTATTGGCAAAATAAACTAAATGTCTAAGACAAATGACTGCTTTTCGAATTCAGTTAATTAAGAGTCATATAATATTGTATACATTTATCTCTTTCTAAGATTTAAAATAATTGATTCATTTTTGTAAAAAAAGCTTAACTACTTTAAAAGACTGTTAGCTACGACGGAGAGATATTGAAATTTGATTATCGCACCTATTCATATGATACCATCAGCTTTGAATTATAGGTAATATACGTTACAGATTTCACAGTCAATTAATAGATCCTTTTGCTCGTAGAGCATCAAAATTCGATAATTATATCGACGGTTATGAAGGTAGTAAGAAACTGACAGAAGTTCAAAATGATGGAAGGTTAGAGATTCCAAACTCTCACGGTTATACCGTATGTTTACGATTACGTTTGCATTCATCGATTTAAAAGGTTCTGTCCAAAGACAGGGCACCCAGCCTTTGCGTATACACGTTTTCATTTAACTAGCTTACTCGTGCGGGAACTCTGACGTGAAATACTCAACCTCGGTTTTTCCAACATCCCTTTGTAGAGAAAAAATGACAGGAAAACGGATTTTAATAGGATTCGAGAACTGTTCGGTCTAATGTTACAAGAGGATTTGAGGTTACCCATCCGAGCAAAACACCCAAAAATGTAATAGAAAGCCGCAAAAGTCTTACTTTGGCTTTATGATGGCTTTAGAAACATATAACTTGATCGATTGAATAATTAATTTTTCCGAACCCTTCCACTGATGTGGTCATTGGTGCCGTTAGTGTAATGAATATTGTGTCGCTGGAGGTGGCAGTGCTCTTCCCCCGCTGGATGATGCCACCTACACATCTGTTTTCAGGCATTCCCCTCCAGGTCTCCCCTCCAGCAAGGCAGCGCCCCAACACAAGTTCTAAGTTCCCGACCGACCGATCACCCCGTAGGTGTGGTAGTGTCGTGCATATAAGTGTAAGTGTGTGTAAGTATGAGGTGAGGATAAAACCAGGAATAGGAAGGAAAGATCGCGCATAATCAGTGACCCGTTTGTAAGGGTACCGCTCCAGCTCTCGCCTGGATTTGTTCGGCGAAACATTAGTTTTTGAATTAGAATGGCACACCGTGGTACGATTTATTTCCTGTAGTCTTTGTAGACGCTCGGCGGTGAAGTGGGGTGACGTGTGCCTCAGTGCCGCAGAGACAGCTGCGCCTGCCACTCCGCCCGGGCTGTTCCTCGCAAGGAGTGCACGCGAGCGTGGCAGCTGGCCGGCGGGGGGCCGAGGGCCCCCATGGGCGCGTGGCTCCAAGGGGGGCCGTGTGCGCCGGCACGCAGGTGCTGATCCCGTGCTGCGCTTGCACGGGCCCGACAGCACGTGCCGCAGCCGCTGCGTGGTGGCCCCAGCGGTGGCTGCCCGACGAGGCGGCCCGCGCCGCCCCCGCGCGTCGCCGTGCTGGCCGCTTCGGCCGAGGCCAGCGCCAGTGCCTGGTGAGCCCTGCGCCGCCCCCACTTGCGCCCACCGCTGCTAACCCCGTCACCCAGCAACGCATCACCTATACCAGCGCCATGACCACCACGATCGTCGCCGCGCCGTCACCAACAACGCACCATCGCCATTATCATCGTCAACGCAAGCCACTACCACATCTGCACGCACACTACACCATGCACCGCCACACTACACCATCGCCACGACCACCATACACATCGCATCTCAATAAGCCACCGTGGATCAGCCGCCGCACTTACTGACCGCCACTATACCAGCCATTGCCACTACTGCCATCTCCATCGCTCTCACCACTACCACCATCACCACCGTCAACACCACAATCACCAACTACCACCACAATCAACGCCTTCACCATGACGCTTCTCTCATGGTCCGCTTCTGCCCGCTCCGTTTTCAAGGGACCAATTTTGATCTTCCATTACTCAAATTGCGCTATATGAACGAATGAAAGGAGTTTATTGCGAAATTGTATAGCTTCAAGGAACTTCTGATCCATTTTCGGGTATATGCTTCGCTGTTTTCTCTTCACAGAGGCACTTTGGAGTGTTTTTATAGTATGTGATCGGTTTAATGGATACTGTTAATTGGATAATTTGAATTTCTAAAATGTCAAAGAATTGTCTTTACTGGGAATGTTTTTTCATGAATAATTGAACTTAATATTTGTATCTTTTTACAATTCCTTCGAGTCCAATTGGAGCAACGCGCGTTGCCAAAAGCATAACTTTCGAACTTGAATATGAAATTCCAGCGTCCGTGGACCCCATCACTTAGTGTATCCCACCACGCCCGTTTCACTTTAGGAACCAGAGCAAAGTGCATTTCATAAAATTCATGTCTTTAAATATTTAAATGATATTGTAAGCGAAAGATGGAGATATTTGTATACTGGCACCAGACTTCCAATATAAGCCGGTACACCTTTTTTCGAATCTCCGCCTCTTTTAAATCATAGTACTTTGGGTGATGACGCATGTGCGTTGAGTGTCAGAAAGCGGTCCGATTGCAGCCATTAGGCGGAGATATGGTGTGTATATTTATGGGTTTCATAACCAGTTTAACAATGCAAAAACCATAAAACTAACATTAGTTGAAAAGGTCTAACTTATGGAAACAATATAAACTCAGAAACTGTCAATGACTGTTTAATATTATTTTTTTGGTGATTTCTGTTATAAATATCATTATATGTAAATCTATTTTAATACTCTTTATCAAATCATGGAATTTTTACTTTAATTGCTTCTTTACTTACATTAATGTACTAGTTTCAGATCGGAAATATCAATATCATAAGTGTAATAAAATTGACAACCTTGCATAAAATGGCAACCTCCCTAAAACAATTTTTTTGTCTCGATCGATTCCGATTTAGACTAATTTTACAGTATTAGTATTGAAACCCGACAGAACTATGATGTCTACTTATGCAATTGCGTTTCGATGAGACATTGATAAAAATAGCCCATTTTCGTCTTTGAAAATATTGTCGCCTTTTGTTAGCTGTGGTATATCGGCCCCGCACATTCTTTGACGCTCAATGCACTTGCCTGCCAGCTGTACTGCCAGCTGACTCAGCCGAGCGATAAGCGCGCCTGGGGCTGCGGAGAGGGGGGCGTCGCTGCTCACAACAGACACGAGAGCACTTGTGGCCTCTGCCTTGGGGATTAACCTCGCCCTTGAACTTTGCGCAGACTCACATACGCCGTCCTTGTTTCCGTGGGAAAGTACAGTCTTTCACGGCAGTACACAGGATTTCTTGTCATCCCGCGCTACTGGCGGTCAATCTCTCAGATGACCAAGTTGTTCTTCCGTCCGTAGATCGGCATGGGCATTTGTGAGATGACCGTCGTTTTCAGAACCCCTCTATTATTGTTCTCAGATGCCATAGCTTCCAGTTAGTACCAATATCCGTAATGCTGTTGTCACAGGAATAATCTCAATCAAATCATCTCAATCAAGTCGCGTGCAGCGCAGCATACCGCTATTCGGAGTGTGTAATACAACTGATTCAACTTTTTGTTACATATATTTATCATATTATTGATAAACATTGTTGTTCAAAGTTGTGTCATTTTAGGTCATTGCAGTTTAAAGTTTCAATGTTTGCAAATGTATTTACAGTTTGAGCCTGAAACACCCACTAGTCAGTTTGGGAAGCAAGATACACTAAAATTCAAATGATGCATCTGAGACAACCAGGGGCGTCTAGAAAAGGAAGGAGGGACAGCAGGGGCAACTTGTTCCATGTCACAATTTAATTGGGAACTCGATTTTTTCATTCAAAACAAATGAAAAATATATTTATCTCTAAACCAAATTTAACGATGTAAATTATTCCAATGCATAGATTTGAGTTGGAGGAGAGGGAAATTTTTATTTGAAATAAGGGCCCCCCGAGGATCAAACACCCCTGGCCCCTGCTTCTTTTCAAGGCCTCCTTGGACACCACCGCGTTTGCTCAAATAACTTTTACTACTGCCAATGCCGCAGAATTAAAGGGTTTTCGGTTATTACACAGAGGGGGGCAGTGTGAAGGTGTGAATGTGGGCCGATTATTCCTATGGAATAAAACATTTTATTTCTGTAAACATTATAAATTCCTGCTTTTCTTGTTTTAAGTTGATAATTTTGCGGCCTGATACACGACGTTTGGTGACAGGCTTTCCAAACCTTTTGACAACCTGCAAGTGGTTCCACATAAACTCAATTGTCTCTATTACTTGTATAGTTAAAGTTATGTCACTCGACTTGTAGTGCGTCTTCTTCATTTACCAGTAAAATATATCATACGTAAAATAAAATCGTTCAATGGAAATAGAGACCCATAAATGTATCCCCCCCCTTTCGCGCACGCCTACGCGAAGATCTTTGATTCTTTCTTCTATTCTTTGGTCCCTGACATTCGTAAACATCGCTGAACTTCGTATGTAGTATGTAGTGGCCATTCCCACCCCTTCGAGAAAAATTATAGGTTAAGCGATGAACGCTAGTCTGTTTAAATGACGGCGTCGAATATCGAAATATAAAACCAAACAGCGTAACTCTTTCTATTTGAATAGTATATAGTTGTATTTTAGAAATTACACGTTTATTACCGTTTCGGTGATGAGATATACTCTGCGTTATCTCTTTAAACTTGGTTTTTAATTTTATTTTTATAACACACATATTAATATTATATATATATATATATATATATATATATATATATATATATAGTATTTTGCCGATCCCCA